AATTCATCCCCCCATATAGCAATTCATCCCCCATATAGCAATTCATCCCCCCATATAGCAATTCATCCCCCCATATAGCAATTCATCCCCCCATATAGCAATTCATCCCCCCATATAGCAATTCATCCCCCCATATAGCAATTCATCCCCCCATATAGCAATTCATTCCCCCCATATAGCAATTCATCCCCCCATATAGCAATTCATCCCCCCATATAGCAATTCATACCCCCATATAGCAATTCATCCCCCCATATAGCATAAGTAATTCATCCCCCCCCATATCAATTCATCCCTCATAGTAGTAGTAGTAAGTAGCAAGTAGTAAGCAAGTCCCTCCTGTGTCAATTCACTTACCTTTGCTCCACACGTTCCTCTCGCCGTGTTCCCCGCACCGTTCCGGTCTTCAGGGCGGACTGTGAGAGGAGCCTAGCTCCCCTCACGTTCGTCACGCTGCCCTGCCTACACACATCCTGACAGCCAATCACTAGCTATCAGGATGTGAGTGGCAGCGAGACTGGCCAATCATTGCTGGGCTAGCTGCAGAGTCCTCGGCCGCCCCGAGAGGGAGGGGAGAGGGCGCCCGGCACACAGAAGAGCCACATTAAAATGTGTAAAGAGCCGCATGTGGCTCGCGAGCCGCGGCTTACCGACCACTGATCTAGACCAATGACTGGAGCCATCAGATCAATAGCTTTTGGCCAGTTTGGAGTCTGGGTCTGCCAGCTATTCTCACCAGGGTTCCTTCAGAGGTTTCTAGGGGGACCTAGAGTTGGCCAATTAGGCTCCCATTTGATGGTACCTGCCTATTTTTGGACCCCAAGGGGCCAGGGGCAGACTGACAACTCATGGGACCCTGGGGCAATAGGGGGATCATGGAGCCCCTGTATCCTTGCCCACACTAAAAGCCTATGAAAGGTACCAGGGGCATCTCATGGGGCCCACAACTGACCCCAGGCAGTGCCCAAGTTCCCAAATGGTCAGTCTGCCCCTGCCCCCAACACAACTTTGTGAAGCCAGCTTCAGGACACATCCTTTTCACTGCCTGCAAGAGTGGCATTTTGACCACCACTGGAAATTGGGTACAGACTGAAATTGGTTTAAGCAAGGCTTTCCCAGAGATCAAAAAACTTCAATGGTTCCACTGGGGCCAATAGTGGAGAGGCTGCTGTATGCCACGCAAGCTATATAACATCTACACTACATGCCATGTATTAGAACCATGAACGTGCTCTGAGGCTCTGTTCCATAGGATTCCCTGTCAAATTTTAATCTCCCCTTCCAGGGGCCCCAATACACATTTGTCCTAGCCATGGCTCAAGTGAGCCCTTGGACAAGGGTCTCATCTACTATGACTAGCTTAGGGTAAAACACACGATCTTAAGTTACAGGCCAGGCCCCCCCCCCCCCCCCCACTACTCCCCAGATTGAGCCTTTACAGAGTCGTTGTCAGGGATTTACTTATCCCCATTCCCTTGTTTTCCTAATATAATCATCCAATATGCATATCAATAACATACACAAAATAGAAAGATATTGGCTTGCAAAATGTTTTCATGTAACATTTTCCAAGCCAATATCTGACAACCATTAATGTTACCAACAGTAACCATTTTCTAGGTGGTACATCAATGGCAGCATGATGGAATCCATTGCATCTTCCCATGTGGAAGGGTCTCATCCTCCATTGAATGAGCTGAAGGAGTGACCTATTATAGCAATTACTGCATCTTTTAGAGACTGATGTGTCCAATATGAACAGTGATGCCACTTTGCCCCATCCACCATTTTTCCTGCCCTTCCCATTGTAGACATACTGTGGTGTCTGATCCTTGCGCGAAGGGGAAGAAGCTTTCCCTCTGCTCTTCTCCCCAGACATCGTCCACCTTTGAGTTCAAGATCACCGTGAGCTGGTCTCCAACATTGTTAAAGCGAGGACAAAAGTGTAGCACAAGATTCTTCCCATCTGTTCCCAAGTTTATGACAAACCTAGAAAGACAGAAAAAGCACAAATTCTGCTCAGTTCTTGTCAGATCTAGTACTCGAGTCATTCACCTGTGGTACCCATGTGAATCAGAGGTACTTCTGCCACCCAAGTCACAAAATATATCACAATGTTTTTGGAGACTAAAACTGACAGTTTGCATAAAAACATGGGGCCCTGGTAATCCTCTATACCAAGAGTACATAAAGTGAACTTGTAGCCTCGATATGGACAGACGGTTGTCTACATTAAAAAAAAAAAAAAAAAAGTGTAGTAACTATGCGCTGAGAAAAACCCAAAATCCCTCACTGACATTTGTAGTTGCAGCCACTGTGGAGCAATTTCTCCTGAAAGTTGACGGGAAATAGTGAAGTCATTCAAGTCTGGGAGGATGTCACCAGCACAGCAAGCATCACCAATGTGGGTCCAAACATTTTAATGAATGATTACATAGTTACAGCAAGGCAACATTTTGAAAACTTGCAGGACCCCCTCATCAGGCATGTGTTCAGTTCCAGCCGACGGTCACTACAGCACCCACTTATACACAGCCATTTTTAAAGCAGGAAAGTGTGTGTTGGGATGGGCGTGTAGAGAGGTTGAGATCAGACTTGAATGACCGTGTACAATCCAAATAGACAGGGAGAAGGGTGATCTGAGCTGTTGGGTCACTGTTGTGGGAGGGAGAAGGGTGAACGGGGCTAAGGTGTCACTGCTAGGAGGGGGAGCTGAGAAGTCACTACTACTTTGTGCCCTTTCACTCCCTCTTGCCATTGGACCTCTAACTAGGTAAGCAGTAGTGATGAAGCTCTTTAATGTAGATGGAGGATAAATTCCTCCACAGTGCCTGCAGCTATACAGTTTGGTGAGGTCCAGGAGGAGAGAGATCAATGTCAGCTGGCATTTCATATGGTGAAATTGTGTCAATGAAACAAACATTTGAGCTAAATTTGCTGTGAGCAAAACAATCTGATGTCAGGCATTTGAGGGACCACGCATGCCGAATTCCCAGCATGTAGGGGTCAGGAGGATGTACTGTACACGGAACACTTTCCTGCTTCTGCAAGGTAAACTTTAGGCAAATTATACAGAGAGCAGACATCTATTGTATAATAAGTAGCTGAGGATGGAACCGTGACTTACACTTCACAGTCCTCCGGAATGAAGCCCTTCACCTCCACCGAGTGACCAGGTTTGAGGCCGATGTTGTAAAAGGTAACAGTCTGTATGGAGAGAAAAGAGAATTATTACACCCTGTATAATGGGGGGGGGGGGGGGGGGGATTATTACACCAATTTATAGAAAGGGAGAGACATCTGATGGTTGCAGTTACTGAACTCAGAACAAGTTTGGGATTTCTGTGGGTGGCAGCACTTTGTGGGAGAGTGGAGGAGCTCAGACATCCCCAGCAGATCACAAATGTCTAATAACACATCAATGACATGACAATATATACATTTTCTCTAACATTCATATCATGTATGCCGGCTGCCCAGACCTTTATAAGGTATAGTCCCATCTACAGACAGCCGGATGGTGCCAAGGCCTGCCCAGCATTCATGTTTAGTAATCATGTACTTGGTGGGTACAGTATGAGTTGAATTTTCAGCAAGTTAGTCATCATGTGTGCACATGGGCGGACTGACCATTTGGAAACTCAGGCACTGCCCAAGGGCCTGGAGTCAGTAGGGGGCCCCCCCATGAGATGCCCCTGGTACCTTTTTCAGTTTTTTTTTTTTAGTTTGGGCAAGGACACAGGGGCCCCATGATCCCCTATTGCCCAGGGCCCTATGAGTTGTCAGTCCGCCCCTGTGTGTGTGCGCATCAAATATCTGAACTGTCTGGCGTATCCACCCTACCCCTTCCCACCCCCAGCTTCCATCCTGCATGGAAAGAGTTAATATGGCACAAATGGATTAACCCAGAGCGGATGGACATGTCACATCTCAGAACCGGACCATTTATAAGACTGCACAGCAAATGGTTAATATAATCACACCAGGGGAAGGCATGGAAATAATGAGCCACTATGGGCAAGTGTGGAGGAGAAGAGGGTCTGAGCCATTCCAGTATATGCCCAATACTAAGAATACCCAGGAAGGCAGACATAGCTCTGTGCCAGGACACCAATACACATACATCCCACCCTAAAGAAATAGATGGACAAGAACTAAAATACTGACCCACACCCCACAACTGCTCACATCAAGTCACCCTATCAGCATGATCCATATTTCTCAACAGTACACAAACAATAACAGAAGTAGACCCATAACTTCCTATACCCAACAACCCAACACCAACCCATGTCCACCCCAAGGAAACTTATACCAACCACTACACCCACCACTGCCTACAGAAGCCATTTGCTCAGCTCTTGCAGCTTCCACCAGTGCTCATACATATACCTCCACCACCAACATCAAACCAGCCCAACACCAACTTGTGTCCACACCAAGCAAACCAATACTCACCACTCACCCACCACACACTACACCCACCATCCCCCACAGAAGCCATTTGCTCAGCTCTTGCAGCTTCCACCAGTGCTCATACTCACATTATCTGCCATCCTGCTTCCTTATCAGAGACACTTGTGATCAGCTGCTCTTCTACTTCTTCTTATATAGGAGGTCTGCTGAGGGTGGAGCCAGTCAGGAGGGAGGGATCACTCCGCCCACTGCTCCCTGGACTGACAATTGTTCCAGAACCGCTCATTACAGAGAATGAATGAAATGTGGATCCGCTGTGACTGAGCATGGGTCGTCCATCGTCACTCTGCTGGGATGTCACCACTCACCACAAACAGCAAGGGGGCAAAAGAGGACTATCCTCAAAGTCATTTCTACACCACAAAGGGGGAGATTTCCTAACACTGGAGGGTGCAAAATCTGCTGCAGCTGTGCATGGGAGCCAATCAGCTTCTACCTTCAGCTGGATCAATGAAGCTTTGACAGGGAAACCTGGAAGCTGATTGGTTTCTATGCAGAGCTGCACCAGATTCTGGACTCTCCAGGTTTAGGAATTCAACCGCAAAGTAACAATTTACATTACCTGATACACATTACATCATATGACATCATATGAGACCCCTGACATCACATGAGATGCATGACATCATATGAGACCCCTGACATCACATGAGATGCATGACATCATATGAGACCCTCTGACATCACATGAGATGCATGACATCATATGAGACCTCTGACATCACATGAGATGCATGACATCATATGAGACCCCTGACATCACATGAGATGCATGACATCATATGAGACCCCTGACATCACATGAGATGCATGACATCACGAGACCCCTGACATCACATGAGATGCATGACATAATATGAGACATACAAAATATAATAACAAAGATAAGTGACAGGTGAAAAAAGTCCAAGTGGTCCATCGAGTCTGCTTCCTTTTTTTAAATGTTTCCTTATTTATTTATTATATTGTGTTGTTGTCTGAGTCTAGATCCATGTTTGCCCCAAGCATGTCTGAAGCCACTTACTGCTGACTGACTCACTACCTCTGCTGGAGGTCTATTCCAACCATCAACTACCCTTTCAGGAAAATATGACTTTCTAAGATGAGTTGGGAACTTTCCTCCAGTCAGTTGGAGGTCATGTCCCGTGTTCTTCATCTTGGTTCATACTGAACATCCTGCCCTCCAGAACCTTATTCCCCCTCTTGATGTACTGAAAGGTTTTGGTCATGTCCATCCTTTCCCTTCTTTCCTCCAGACTGTACATATGAAGTTCCTGCAGTCTCTCTTGATATGTTTGATCCCTCAGACCTTTTCACCATTTGTGTTCCCCGTCTCTGGACTCGTTCTATCTCATCAATATCTTCATGGAAGTGAGATCTCCAGAACTGGACACTGTATTCTAAATGAGGTCCAACTAAAGATCTATATAGAGGAATCAGGACCTTCCTTCCTCCTGCCGGTGACCCCTCTAGTGATAGGATCTATATAGAGGAATCAGGACCTCCTTCCTCCTGCTGGTGACCCCTCTAGTGATATAAAGATCTATATAGAGGAATCGGGACCTCCTTCCTCCTCCGGTGACCCCTTTAGTGATAGGATCTATATAGAGGAATCAGGACCTCCTTCCTCTTGCCGGTGACCCCTCTAGTGGACAGGATCTATATAGAGGAATCAGGACCTCCTTCCTCCTGCCGATGACCCCTCTAGTGATATAAAGATCTATATAGAGGAATCAGGACCTCCAATACATCACATGAGACGCATGACATCCCAGGAATTGTCATTACTGATCCTAGTATGGGGGGGACACGGCACTGGCACAGCCAGGCGCCCCATAGTGGACGTTTCTCTGCTAAAACTGGATTTCTTAACCTCTTCAGTACCAGAACTTTCCTCATTCCTCATGCTGTCCTGCAGGAAGATGCATTCCACTACATGGGTACTTGGGAATCTGTGCACCTGGCTATGCGTAGCGTGGAATGTGGAATGTCTGTGTACCTGTGTACCTGCTATGGGTAGCGTGGAATGCCTGTGTACCTGGCTATGGGTAGCATGGAATGCCTGTGTACCTGGCTATGGGTAGCGTGGAATGCCTGTGTACCTGGCTATGGGTAGTGTGGAATGCCTGTGTACCTGGCTATGGGTAGCGTGTGGAATGCCTGTGCACCTGGCTATGGGTAGTGTGGAAATGCCTGTGTACCTGGCTATGGGTATGGGTGTGGAATGCCTGTGTACCTGGCTATGGGTAGTGTGGAATGCCTGTGTACCTGGCTATGGGTAGCGTGGAATGCCTGTGTACCTGGCTATGGGTAGCGTGGAATGCCTGTGCACCTGGCTATGGGTAGTGTGGAATGCCTGTGCACCTGGCTATGGGTAGTATGCTAGTTCTGTGCAGTCGGTGTGTGACTTAATATTAGGTGTGTGACAAATTATTCGCTGCTGATTGCCGATCTCATTTCTTGAGGCTCTAATATCTCAGGACAGTACAAATAATCCTCAAATGGCCCCTTTTTGTGAAATCTGACATTCTGAGGCATTTAGTAAGAAGCTCGGGGGGGTCTCATGTGGTGGGATACTTCTAATACTGCACTTACGTATAAACCATTCCTGTAACTATCAATGGGTTCTTTTCTCCTGTTTTGCTGTGTAATTCTGTAATCATTTTATGTTCTGCATTGATCCTTGTCTGCTGTCACAGGGGATGAGGTCCTTCTATTGGCCTAGCAATTGGATGGACATTCGGGGGGGACAGGCTACTTGTGTTGGGTGAGGGGCTTCTCCTCCTCCCCTCCATCCTTGCACTCTGCTAATGGGACCGGCCTTTGGAATGCATTGCGCTCCTCATCCGGCCGCTGCTGTTATGGCGGTCCGTTGTTGAAGGGTGCATGCGGATTAGCATGGCACCCACAGCTGGTGTGACGTAATGCGCCGACCCGACATCATGACGTTGGGTGGGACGTCCGGCCCGCTTGGGTCATATAGAGGAGAGAGAGGTGGTGGCGGGACTAGATGTGAATACCGGGCTGCTATTTTTGGGACCATTCACCGTGTTATGGGCCACGAGGTGCTGGGTTTATCTGCTTCTAGTTGAGCGGTTTTTACCAATATCTATATTGACCATTTGTTGATTTGGAGCTTGGCGGCAGTTCTTAGGGGGGGAAGTGAATGTGAGGGACATCCTCTTTTTTTTGTGTGTTATTTGGGGGAGGAATAATGCCATATACCCCATACTCAATATACACGTCTCTAGGAGGGTGTCTCTGGTGAAGAGTTTATTCTCGGTTTGTTTGGAAGAATTATCTGAAATACAACACTTTTGCCCCGTTAGAAATATTGGAATCTATCTGTTCCAAATCTCCAGTCTTACTATTTGGCGGCTAACATTGCCCCTTTAGCTCATATTCATGCATCTCACCATTTCCCCCTGTGGGCTGTGGTGGGATATGGTCGACTCTCACCCGATACCGCTCTCCTCCTTGCCCTGGCTCCCTATTTCCCGATGTCCATCTACCCTTAGCCCAACGCTGACACTTTCGCTTCGTCTTTGGGATTCTATCAAACACTCCGCTGGCCTTATCTCTCCTCGCCTGCCTCTGATACGTCTATTGCATAACCCATTATTCCCCTCCGGGTAAGGATAACCCTAGACAGTTTGCCTGGTGGCAGACGCATGGTTTTTATGATGTCCTTTCACTTCTATCCCCCACCAGAATAATTACCTTTGACACTCTGCGTTCTTCTTATAACATTCCTCTCCGAGAACATTTTGGTTATCTTCAACTTCGTCACTTTATTCATACTCTAATACGTACGCATCCAGGACCTTATCGTCTATCCCCTTTTGAAAGCCAGTGTAGACATAGACCTCATGCTCCGGGTCTGATCTCCTTGATTTTTTCTTCCATTATATCTTACAGAACCCCTCCGGTTCGTTCCTATCATCAGTGTTGGCAGTCTGAATTAGGGGGGACCTTGGATCAACAGGACTGGCAGCACATGACCCAAACTTTATCTAAGTGTTCCAGGAATGTCATTATCCTTGAGAATGCCTACAAAATTCTATACCGATGGTTTTACACGCCTGCCCGTTTAGCTAGTTTTATCCCTACCTATTCCCCGGTCTGTTTTCGGGGGTGCCAACAACTGGGTACCATGGCCCACATCTGGTGGACTTGCCTTAAAGTAAGCAGGTTATGGATTAGGGTGTACGCCCTCCTCCGCACTATTCTTCATACAGACATTAAGCGTAACCCCTATGAAGCGCTCCTATTTAAACCACTAGAGGGCCTTCTCCGCTCTTAACGGCAGCTGGCATCACATTTATTTATGGCAACTAAATTGACAATTGCGAGGGCTTGGAAGACTCTGTTCTACTCTCTTGTCTAATCTGTTCTTAAACATGTTTTTACAGATTGTGCTTACTGCTTTCTGCGCTACATCCGCAATACTATTTATGCAATCTAGATTTCTTACTAAACTCTAGGTCATGACCATGTACTGTTTTTTGGTGAGGCCTCTTTCCCCGGGTCTCTCCTGTTTTCTATAATGTTGATGTAGCACAACTTCTCTTTAGAGTTTACATTATCATTGACCCACACAGGTTTTTTACCCATTCCCCTCCAACCTCTTCCCTCATCCCTTCCCTCAGAGCATCTATGTAAACTTTTCAGATTATGCTTTTATCGATGCATGCCTTGAACCAGCTACCCTTCATTTAATACAATTTGTAAATGTTGGTCATTGAATTTATGCTTTGACTGTCTGTTTCTCTTTGCTTATTACTCAATAAAGCTCTTTGTAAAAGAAATATTGGAATCTAGGTCATACTATGTTATATATGAATACTAGGGAATATAATGGGCTCTGGTTTTGAGGTATTTTACTATAAAGATGACATCGCCTCCTTCTCTTCATATTGCAGCTTACAGTTGATGATTAGCGGTGGTCTTCATCCGCTTCTCTAGTTTTCCTCCTTCCCCCTATGGGTGGAGGTGGATTTATGGGCCTGTGATGGGACATCTGTTCCTGGCAGCAGATATCGGTGTATATTATCTCTTCAACCGAAAGCAATCCTGTTATATAAGTGAACATCGTGGTAAGAGTCAACAAAATATTCCTGAAATGTGTATTAATGGGTGTCATATCTTACCTGTATATATTTGTTACTGTGAAGTTATGTCCATGTCTTTGTAGACGATCCCCACAAAGCCTTTGAAGAAGCAGATGTAGACTGGGAAACGTGTTGGCATTACTAGCGGGATATGGAATCGTCCAATCTTATCGTGTGATTTGTTGGTTAGGTTGTAATATATCTGCTTACCAATTGGTGAAATAGATGGACCACCATTATAATGGACAATAAATCTACTTTTATAGTCATAACTTGTTGTTCCTTTTAGCCCAGCGCCTCAAAAAAGTCCCCTATTTTAGGATTTAGTGTAGTTGTATACTCGAAAATTGAATTTTTTACCATCCTATCACCAGTGAAGTAAAGCATCCTTTATAACAGATGTGGTGCTGATCAGGGATGGTAACAAGATTTTAAAATTCATTTTTAGAAAAATAATTTCATCACTACTACCCCTAGTCTACTACCCGTACACTGAGACTAAAAGCTGCGCCAGCATCTCCTTCCCCGCTGGAGAAGTACTACATTCACTGCCACAACTACTACCTGTACTGGGCCACTGACTTCAGCATGTGATTGTTAGGCTGCCTTCACAAATATCTGCAGCAAAAATGCACATGTGTCAGCTTGCTTTACTGCTTTCATTTTATGTAGAACTGAACGCAGCAAGCCAGAACCTCAAACAATCAGACCCACAACACGAGGGTGAAGAGTTTCATAGGAATACATAGTAACCCGTTTCTCACACCTTTCATTCTGGAGCCTGCAAGTTTTGTTTTTTAAAAGACATTGCTTGATTTCCAATAAACATTCTGATCTTTTTAATCAGACTACACAGGCAGAAGGTACACATGGCTACTAATGCTTCATTCTTTCTAAGGATGCATTCACACTTAAGCAGTTTTTATTTTGTGTTTTCAGAGCTTCAAGCTACAAAATGCTTCCCTATGGTGCCTCTGTGTAAAACAGACACCAAAGAAAGATTTTTCTTCACCTCAAGTTTGAGCTTTTTGGAACTTGAAGCTACAAGCGGCTCAAGTGTGAATGCAGCCTAGAAGTAATACAACCAACCTCCAGCAGGAGGGCGCTATAGACTACAGAAATGAATACAGAGTCAGTTTAGTGCTCAATAATAAGATTGATCAGACACAATAGAGCTCATTGGATTTTTTTTGAAATGTGGATGAAATTCATTTCTAGCAAGTGATCTGAGCAAAGCACAATGTAATGGCTACATGAGCAGCAAGAGGCAGATTGGAAGGAGAAGGGTACAAGACAGGATAACATTTCTCTCCATCCATTATGGCCATTTCACAAGAGCCGGGATATGGACACGTTGGGAGAGGCGGCCATCCTCTATTGCAGATTCCTCACTTCAGTGTGATGGACTTGAGCCGGAGGTGTTCCACCTGCAAGCAAGAGATCTCCTCTATGGGAAAGCGGACTGGAAATGTGAAAGGATTTCCTGTAGGCAATTGTATGGTGATCTTGTCTTGCTCAAACAAGAAGGAAACCTGTAAGAAAAGATGGCAGTGTCAGCTGTAGATACAAAAGACTGACCTTTATAGTCCAGCAAGCCAACACTATCACCAAAATATTCAAACTAAAAAATCTTTCCATAAGGGGAATGTGCATGAAGCTCATCTTCTGCATTCTTCTTGTGTACAGAAAATTGCTAATGGAAAGGAATAATGGAAGGATGTGCTTCTGCACTGCAAGGTTTTAGTAACAGTCTGAGGACGGTCTGTCATCTAGACCAATGACTGGAGCCCTCAGATCAATAGCTTTGGCCAGTTTGGAGTCTGGGTCTGCCAGCTATTCTCACCCAGGGTTCCTTCAGAGGTTTCTATGGGGTACTAGAGTTGGCCAATTAGGCTCCCATTTGATGGTACCTGGCTATTTTTGGACCCCAACCAGGGGCAGACTGACAACTCATGGGACCCTGGGGCAATAGGGGGATCGTGGAGCCCCTTTATATCCTTGCCCACACTAAAAGCCTATGAAAGGTACCAGGGGCATCTCATGGGGCCCACAACTGACCCCAGGCAAGTGCCCAAGTTCCCAAATGGTCAGTCTGCCCCTGCCCCCAACACAACTTTGTGAAGCCAGCTTCAGGACACAATCCTTTTCACTGCCTGCAAGAGTGGCATTTTGACCACCACTGGAAATTGGTTACAGACTGAAATTGGTTTAAGCAAGGCTTTCCCAGAGATCAAAATGGTTCCACTGGGGCCAATGGTGGAGAGGCTGCTGTTGTGCCACACAAGCTATAACATCTACACTACATGCCATGTATTAGAACCATGAACGTGCTCTGAGGCTCTGTTCCATAGGATTCTGTGTCAAATTTTATCTCCCCTTCCAGGGGCCCCAATACACATTTGTCCTAGCCATGGCTCAAGTGAGCCCCTTTACAGAGTGGTTGTCAGGGATTTACTTTATCCCCATTCCCTCGTTTTCCTAAAATAAATCATCCAATATGCATAACACATCAATAACACAAAATAGAAAGATATTGGCTTGGAAAATGTTTTCATGTAACATTTTGCAAGCCAATATCTAAGCCAATATCTGACCACCATTAATGTTACCAACAGTAACCATTTGCTAGGTGGTATATCAATGGCAGCATGATGGAATCCATTGCAATCTTCCCATGTGGAAGGGTCTCATCCTTCATTGAATGAGCTGAAGGAGTGACCTATTATAGCAATTACTGCATCTTTTAGAGACTGATGTGTCCAATATGAACAGTGATGCCACTTTGCCCCATCCACCATTTTTCCTGCCCTTCCCATTGTAGACATACTGTGGTGTCTGATCCTTGCGCGAAGGGGAAGAAGCTTTCCCTCTGCTCTTCTCCCCAGACACCGTCCACCTTTGAGTTCAAGATCACCGTGAGCTGGTTCTCCCAACATTGTTAAAGCGAGGACAAAAGTGTAGCACAAGATTCTTCTCATCTGTTCCCAAATTTATGACAAACCTAGAAAGACAGAAAAACACAAATTCTGCTCAGTTCTTGTCAGATATAGTACTCGAGTCATTCACCTGTGGTACCCATGTGAATCAGAGGTACTTCTGCCACCCAAGTCAAAATATCAATGTTTTTGTAGACTAAAACTGACAGTTTGCATAAAAACATGGGGCCCTGGTAATCCTCTATACCAAGAGTACATAAAGTGAACTTGTAGCCTAGATATGGACAGACGGTTGTCTAAATTAAAAAAAAAAAAAAAAAAAAAAAAAAAAAGTGTAGTAACTACTCACTGAGAAAATCCCAAAATCCCTCACTGACAATTGTAGTTGCAGCCACTGTGGAGCAATTTCTCCTGAAAGTTGACGAGAAATAGTGAAGTCATTCAAGTCTGGGAGGATGTCACCAGCACAGCAAGCATCACCAATGTGGGTCCAAACATTTTAATGGATGATTACATAGTTACAGCAAGGCGACATTTTGAAGACTTGCAGGACCCCCTCATCAGGGCATGTGTTCAGTTCCAGCCGACAGTCACTGCAGCACCCACTTATACACAGCCATTTTTAAAGCAGGAACGTGTGTGTTGGGATGGGCATGCAGAGAGGTTGAGACCAGACTTGAATGACCGTGTACAATCCAAATAGAGAGGGAGAAGGGTGATCTGAGCTGTTGGGTCACTGTTGTGGGAGGGAGAAGGGTGAACTGGGCTAAGGTGTCACTGCTAGGAGGGGGAGCCGAGAAGTCACTACTACTTTGTGCCCTTTCACTCCCTCTTGCCATTGGACCTCTAGCTAGATAAGCAGTAGTGATGAAGCTCTTTAATGTAGATGGAGGATAAATTCCTCCACAGTGCCTGCAGCTATACAGTTTGGTGAGGTCCAGGAGGAGAGAGATCAATGTCAGCTGGCATTTCATATGGTGAAATTGTGTCAATGAAACAAACATTTGAGCTAAATTTGCTGTGAGCAAAACAATCTGATGTCAGGCATTTGAGGGACCACGCATGCCGAATTCCCAGCGTGTAGGGAGTGTCAGTAGGATGTACTGTACACGGAACACTTTCCTGCTTCTGCAAGGTAAACTTTAGGCAAAATTATACAGAGAGCAGACATCTATTGTATAATAAGTAGCTGAGGGATGGAACCGTGACTTACACTTCACAGTCCTCCGGAATGAAGCCCTTCACCTCCACGGAGTGACCAGGTTTGAGGCCGATGTTGTAAAAGGTAAAAGTCTGTATGGGAGAAATTAGAGAATTATTACTCCCTGTATAATGGGGGGGGGGGGGGGGGATTATTACACCATTTATAGACAGGAGAGACATCTGATGGTTGCACTCAGAACAAGTTTGGGATTTCTGTGGGTGGCAGCACTTTGTGGGAGAGTGGAGGAGCTCAGACATCCCCAGCAGATCACAAATGTCTAATAACACATCAATGACATGACAATAATATACATTTTCTCTAACATTCATATCATGTATGCCGGCTGCCCAGACCTTTATAAGGTATAGTCCCCCATCTACAGACAGCCGGATGGTGCCAAGGCCTGCCCAGCATTCATGTTTAGTAATTATGTATTTGAATTTATGAATTTTGGTCAGCAAGTTAGTCATCATGTGTGCACATGGGCGGACTGTGCATTTGGAAACTCAGGCACTGCCCAAAGGCCTGGAGTCAGTAGGGGGCCCCATGAGATGCCCCTGGTACCTTTTTCACCGTTTTTTTTTTTTTTTTTAGTTTGGGCAAGGACACAGGGGCCCCATGATCCCCTATTGCCCAGGGCCCTATGAGTTGTCAGTCCGCCCCTGTGTGTGCATCAAATATCTGGTCTGGCGTATCCACCCTACCCCCTTCCCACCCCCAGCTTCCATCCTGCATGGAAAGAGTTAATATGGCACCAATGGATTAACCCAGAGCGGATGGACATGTCACATCCCAGAACCGGACCATTTATAAGACTGCACAGCAAATGGTTAATATAATCACACCAGGGGAAGGCATGGAAATAATGAGCCACTATGGGCAAGTGTGGAGGAGAAGAGGGTCTGAGCCATTCCAGTATATGCCCAATACTAAGAATACCCAGGAAGGCAGACATAGCTCTGTGCCAGGACACCAATACACATACATCCCACCCTAAAGAAATAGATGGACAAGAACTAAAATACTGACCCACACCACCAACTGCTCACATCAAGTCACCCTATCAGCATGATCCATATTTCTCAATAGTACACAAACAATAACCAGAAGTAGACCCATAACTTCCTATACCCAATAAACCCAACACCAACCCATGTCCCACCCCAAGGAAACGTATACCAACCACTACACCCACCACTACCTACAGAAGCCATTTGCTCAGCTCTTGCAGCTTCCACCAGTGCTCATACATATACCACCACCACCAACATCAAACCAGCCCAACACCAACTTGTGTCCACACCAAGCAAACCAATACTCACCATTACCCACCACACTACACCAACCATCCCCCACAGGAGCCATTCGCTCAGCTCTTGCAGCTTCCACCAGTGCTCATACTCACAGCATCTGCCATCCTGCTTCCTTATCAGAGACACTTGTGATCAGCTGCTCTTCTACTTCTTCTTATATAGGAGGTCTGCTGAGGGTGGAGCCAGTCAGGAGGGAGGGATCACTCCGCCCACTGCTCCCTGGACTGACAATTGTTCCAGAACCGCTCATTACAGAGAATGAATGAAATGTGGATCCGCTGTGACTGAGCATGGGTCGTCCATCGTCACTCTGCTGGGATGTCACCACTCACCACAAACAGCAAGGGGGCAAAAGAGGACTATCCTCAACGTCATTTCTACACCACAAAGGGGGAGATTTCCTAACACTGGAGAGTGCAAAATCTGCTGCAGCTGTGCATGGGAGCCAATCAGCTTCTACCTTCAGCTGCTTCAATGAAGCTTTGACAGGGAAACCTGGAAGCTGATTGGTTTTCTATGCAGAGCTGCACCAGATTCTGGACTCTCCAGGTTTAGGAATTCAACCGCAAAGTAACAATTTACATTACCTGATACACATTACATCATGTGAGACCCCTGACATCACATGAGATGCATGACATCATATGAGACCCCTGACATCACATGAGATGCATGACATCATATGAGACCCTTGACATCACGTGAGATGCATGACATCATATGAGACCCCTGACATCACGTGAGATGCGTGACATCATATGAGACCCCTGACATCACGTGAGATGCGTGACATCATATGAGACCCTTGACATCACGTGAGATGCATGACATCATATGAGACCCCTGACATCACGTGAGATGCATGACATCATATGAGACCCCTGACATCACGTGAGATGTGTGACATCATATGAGACCCCTGACATCACGTGAGATGTGTGACATCATATGAGACCCCTGACATCACGTGAGATGCGTGACATCATATGAGACCCCCGACATCACGTGAGATGCATGACATCATATGAGACCCCTGACATCACATGAGATGCGTGACATCATATGAGACCCCCGACATCACATGAGATGCGTGACATCATATGAGACCCCTGACATCACATGAGACCCCTGACATCATATGAGACCCCTGACATCACATGAGATGCATGACATCATATGAGAACTCTGACATCACGTGAGATGCATGACATCATATGAGATCCCTGACATCACATGAGATGCATGACATCATATGAGACCCCTGACATCACATGAGATGCATGACATCATATGAGACCCTTGACATCACATGAGATGCATGACATCATATGAGACCCTTGACATCACATGAGATGCATGACATCATATGAGACCCCCGACATCACATGAGATGCATGACATCATATGAGACCCTTGACATCACATGAGATGCATGACATCATATGAGATGCAGAAAAAAAGACCAAGTGCTCCATCAACTCTGACTCTTTTTTTTTCTGCATTTATTTTATTTTTGGGGGTTATTTACTTTTGATTTTATTTTTACTTTTACTTTTTTTTGTCTAGATCCATGTTTGCCCCAAGCATGTCTGAAGCCACTTACTGCTGATTGACTCACTACCTCTGCTGGAGGTCTATTCCAACCATCAACTACCCTTTCAGGAAAATATGACTTTCTAAGATGAGTTGGGAACTTTCCTCCAGTCAGTTGGAGGACATGTCCCATCCCCCCATCCCCCCATCCGTGCCCCGGGCTATGGGCGGTATGTGGTGCCCCCGGTATGGGCGGTGATTTCCGTGTGACTTCCCCCCGGCTATGGGCGGTATGTGACTTCCGTGCCCCCTCCGTATGCCCCTGGCTATAGGCGGTATGTGACTTCCGTGCCCCTGGCTATAGGCGGTATGTGACTTCCGTGCCCTGGCTGGCTGTGGGCGGCTATGTGATTTCCGTGCCCCTGGCTATAGGCGGTATGTGATTTCCGTGACTTCAGTGCCCCTGGCTATGGGCGGTATGTGATTTCCGTGCCCCCGGCTATGGGCGGTATGTGATTTCCGTGCCCCCGGCTATGGGCGGTATGTGATTTCCGTGCCCCTGGCTATAGGCGGTATGCGACTTCCGTGCCCCTGGCTATAGGCGGTATGTGACTTCCGTGCCCCTGGCTGTGGGCGGTATGTGACGGTATTGACTTCCGTGCCCCTGGCTATAGGCGGTATGTGATTTCCGTGCCCCTGGCTATGGGCGGTATGTGACTTCCGTGCCCCTGGCTGTGGGCGGTATGTGACTTCCGTGCCCCTGGCTGTGGGCGGTATGCGATTTCCGTGCCCCTGGCTATGGGCGGTATGCGATTTCCGTGCCCCTGATGACGTGATGACGCAGCAGCAAAGTGAATAAATTAATAAATATAAAGTGACTTGAGTGATTTTTTGACATATATATAAAGTCCAGCAATTATGTGATCCGTGTCGGTGAAATCCGTGGCAGGAACTGATAATGTGCTTGCACTCACCGGAAGCGCAATTTAAAAGCGCAGTGTGTGTATATAATATCCCGTAATGGTCATCTGGGCCTGGACAAGGATGGTGGAAATCATCCGGCACACGTTCGGCATGCAAGGCGACTTCAGACCTCTCTCACAGTATCCAGGGACATCCCCTCCGACCTCATAGACCACCGGATGGGACTCCGCAAGAAACTGGAATATCTCTACCTCCTCTGCTGCCACTTCCAGCAATGTCTCCTCTCTACACTCTACATCCTCCCGCCTCACCTCTCTGTACCAGAGGAGCTGACACTCTAATGTCCCCTCCCCCACAGTCACATCAGCCTCTGTACCAGAGGAGCTTACACTCTACTGTCCCCTCCCCCACAGTCACATCAGTCTCTGTACCAGAGGAGCTTACGCTCTAATGTCCCCTCCCCCACAGTCACATCAGTCTCTGTACCAGAGGAGCTGACACTCTAATGTCCCCTCCCCCACAGTCACATCAGCCTCTGTACCAGAGGAGCTTACACTCTACTGTCCCCTCCCCCACAGTCACATCAGTCTCTGTACCAGAGGAGCTTACACTCTAATGTCCCCTCCCCCACAGTCACATCAGTCTCTGTACCAGAGGAGCTTACACTCTACTGTCCCCTCCCCCACAGTCACATCAGTCTCTGTACCAGAGGAGCTTACACTCTACTGTCCCCTCCCCCCACAGTCACATCAGTCTCTGTACCAGAGGAGCTTACGCTCTAATGTCCCCTCCCCCACAGTCACATCATTCTCTGAACCAGAGGAGCTTACGCTCTAATGTCCCCTCCCCCGCAGTCACATCAGTCTCTGTACCAAGGAGCTTACGCTCTAATGTCCCCTCCCCCGCAGTCACATCAGTCTCTGTACCAGCTGAGCTTACGCTCTAATGTCCCCTCCCCCGCAGTCACATCAGTCTCTGTACCAGAGGAGCTTACGCTCTAATGTCCCCTCCCCCACAGTCACATCATTCTCTGTACCAGAGGAGCTTACGCTCTAATGTCCCCTCCCCCACAGTCACATCAGTCTCTGTACCAGAGGAGCTTACGCTCTAACGTCCCCTCCCCCACAGTCACATCAGTCTCTGTACCAGGGGAGCTATGCTCTAATGTCCCCTCCCCCACAGTCACATCAGTCTCTGTACCAGAGGAGCTTACGCTCTAACGTCCCCTCCCCCACAGTCACATCAGTCTCTGTATAGAGGAGCTGACACTCTAATGTCCCCTCCCCCACAGTCCCATCAGTCTCTGTACAGAGGAGCTGACACTC